AAATGTTAAACTAAAATATGACAAAACTGTGTGTTCCACACCTGGCTGTACTACAAGTTTTAACTGAAGCACATCAAATATGCAGCTGTAATTCATACTCAACCTTTAAACAAATTGATACCCTAGTATTTATTTTCTTCTGTGATTTTTCAAAAGAAAAACGTTTCATATAAAGATATTACATATGATTTTAATGGCAAGCTAGACAAGAAAGCTACTAAATAATTCATAGGTACAATACGATGGGAACACTGAATTGGAAATCATTTGAAAATTTCATCTCTTCAGTTTGTCAGATCTCAGTAACAGTTATATAAAAATGCAGAGCACAGCGAACTGTCAACAGATACCCTACAAGTTCTTTATAGCAAAACAGTTAGAACTCACTGGTCTTTCTGAAGCCTAAACCCACTTTAGATCACCTATGAAACTGATGTTTACATTAGCATATGCTAAAAACCCCCAAACTATAATACCTCTACAGAGTAATTATGGTATTTTTGACAGGGAAAAACTTTAAGTATAAAGTGCGGAATATAGTGTGGAAGTATATATTCCACATATAGTGTGGAAGTAAGCTCTCTTTATCTTTCCATGTGTAACATTCAGTTCAGCAATATCGTGTTCCAGTATTCCACAGTAAGAAAAACTAGTACTGAACTCAAGGCATCAATTCAGAATGATTTTCCTCTAATAGTTAAAAAATAACTGTTAGTAAAACAGTGTAAATAAGTATACATTACTCAAAAGGTACAGTGGGTGGAGAAGTAAGTTCAGAGAGCAGTATCCGAAGCTATGCTTAACTATTCAAGGGTTTCTACAATTCTGGAGCTCCTCATGAACATCTATGATTATGAAGCAGTTATGAATTTAGAAGTTACCTGGGAAAGTGAATTTGAAAACACTCAGAAAGTATAATTATTGTAACTGTAGAAAAACTCAGGTCTGAAATACTGTCAGCTGCAGTAGGATCATTTAGAAGATACCATTTGGAAACTCTTCTCGGTTTTTCGGCTACTGGTACTGCATGATATACACACAGCTTTATTTTCCAAGTGGCTTACATAACTTTATAGACATCAGATTCAATACTATTCTGTTGAAGAAAAGACAGCCTTACAAAGACCATAACAAACTGTCAAGACAGAACACATACTGAACAGGTCCAAAGCAGAAGGAAGGGAATATGGGAATATAGCTCTTAATCACCTGTTACTACACAGACTTCTCACTTTGCTTTTCTTCAGCCCTTGTAAGTGGGATACAAATAAGTCATAGTTTGTAAAAAAATAGTGTGGATGTAAAGCATGGGAGAAAAGTTTCCTTATCATGTCAGTAATAGCATAGTTTTGTACTTGCTGTGGTGTACTGTAACACAAAATATGGGCCTTCAAGTCTTATAGCAATGTTTTAATTAGGTATTATAAGAAGTAATTTCTCTCCACCTCACATTTTCAAATGCAAACATTCTATGCCTGATTGTATGAAGCACTTTTACTTTACAAATAAACTCTCAGCTTAGGGTAACCCTTCTCTCCCATCCACCCTTAAACATGCACAATCAGTTATGCCACAGCCTTCAACATTCCAGTCTAAATGAAATGCTGATGCTTTTAAGTCTGCACAGAAACAATTCAGTTTAAAAAGTATGTTTATGGTCCATAGGCTGAAATAATTCGGCTTTGTCCTTACAATAAAAAGATCCCACTCCTGTTATTTTTTTTATACCATTTAAGGGAAGCATGCACAAAGGTGACAGTTCTGCGCATGCTTTTCAGAACTGCACCTGAGTTTATGAAATGAGACCCACAGTAGGATTTTGGATGCTGATATACAAATATGTATAAATCTGTAAAAACATCATAGTATTTTATGACTGTTTATTATATAACTTGAACTCCTTTTACTGGCTGGTTCTCCACTAAGATATTATAGTATACAACTACTGAAGGACAATAGCATTTCAGACAGTGTGAAGAATGAGAACTTGACTACATGGTGGAAACCACACTGCAAGGGGTCACCTGAATCCCTCTCTTATACTGACATCTCACTTCATTACAAAACTACTTCTTCAGCACTAGTTTCTAGAATTGAAACTGCAACGGACACTATACGCTTTAGCTCTGCTCCAAGACATCACTGGGAAAAAGGGAGAAATGGTTTTTGCTATGAAGGAATGCAGGAAGTCTTACTTCCAGTCCACCTCCTCCTCTCGCTGCCGGAGCAAAGACTGTTACAAATAGCATCAGATAAACATTCAGGGCTAGGGCTGAGTGACAGGGACACAAGAATAAGAGTGGGCCAAGAAGAGCAAGGTACAAGACCTGCAGTACAGATCCAGTGGCAACACTGGCAATTAATACCACTTTAATATTACTTTAGGTGCTGAGTACACTCAAAGCGCTATTATCTAGCAAGGTTGCACAGTGCTAACACACAACTCTCACATAAAGGTAATTATACTGCAGACACAGTTTGTAAAAGGTAAGCATAATTAGCTGACCTGTTTAAAAAAAAAAATCACCATTTGTTGTTTAGTCACAGTATTCCTAGCTACTTATAACTTAACTGAAACCTCGAGTTATTGCTTTAATTAGCATAATGGAATTTGGATTAAACTGTTAAGAACTGTATAAAGTATTGAGATAGTGACAGAAAAACGATCTTAAATGTCTGTATGTAGTGTGACTTTCCTTTTTTATCTACTCCAGTGTTTCTCTTGCAGTTACTGTTAGATCTATTGCTATTACAAGACTGTGATATGATTGAGGTTGTACTTCCACAGTATGCTACCATCTGGACTGGTCCTTATGCTATCGCATACCACAATCTCACTTCTGCCAACAACTATCTCTGCGGCCAGTAAATCACACGTGCAGGGTCACCTAGGTTAAAACTAGATTTCCTTACGTCCTCTTCCAGCGTTCACCGCTAATCCACAATGAAGAAAAACAACATGCTGTGCTAGCACAAGGAAGACATCAATATATTGCTGCATGAGACTGGGAGACTGACAATTCCTTAAACTCCTTTACTGCCAAAAGCCCAATACTGTGGATTTGATCAATCAAAAAGTAAGTATCTGGAGAAGCTGGAAGCACTTCACTATCATGAGCTTTGTCAGATGGTAACACTAACTTTATAACCAATTATTCCACAGTAGATGTTTCTCTCCTTTAAAGATACACAGGTATTAGTTTTAAATCATAGAAGCCAAAAGTACAGTCCACTGCTTCTTCCATACTTAAGAAATGCATGTAGCCTGAAAGCTGCTCCAGTTCAAATGCAAGGGGGGGGGAAAAAAGGAGAAATTATTCTCAGTCTTAGTAATAATTTCCAAGTACGGAAAAAACAAGGAGGACAGTTATTCTTTCAGGCTTTCTGCATTACTGCTTGCAAACCTAATCCACTTTAGCTCAGTTTTGTCCAACTTTTAACTGAAATTTCATAGAAACTTTCAGAAAAAGACACACTTAAAAAGCCTTTCTCAGATGTTATTCTAATTTTAATCCCTGAGTTTGTCAGCTATGAAAAAAACTTGTATCTTGAACAAGCCAAAAAACAAGTATCTTGAAGTTATTTTAAAAGTTTTGTTCATCTTTTGTTTCTATTTATTGCTTTTAGGCCAAGATATTTTGCAGTAAATCATACTTTTTGTATTTTAGTGCTCCCCCTAAGAATTTTCTTAATAAACTTATTTAGCAGTTCCCCTGAAAACAGGATAATGTCAACTTTTTCTCAAATAACATCTAAACTGCAAGTTATTATCCCCTTACAGTGTGCCTTTGTTTCTCAGTACACCCTCCTCTCCAAGAAGTTTGTACTGATGTCAGCAGTAACACATGGGTTAAAGTTTTAAACTTAGAATTCCTTCCTCCCCATCCCAGTAGAATTGGAGAATAGAACTATGTATGTTTTAAATGAGATCATTCTGTGGTCTCCATATGCACTCCTAATCAAGTCATAAGAAAAGACTGTGCATTTGAGGTTTTTTAATTATTATTTTTTCCAGTAAACATTTTTATTGTCCTCTTGCTTAAAGCAAAAACACGGGATGTTTCTGGACCTGAAGCCATGAAAATATTCCTTGATCACATGCATGCAACCACCTGCTCGCATCTTATCAGTTCTTCCCTCACTACTGGTAGCAAACATCTGAGCAGTCAGAAGGATGGACTACTCTCTCATTTCCCCAGTAAGTATACACCTGGGGGTAAGAAGGTTAGGAAGAAGGGACTGTGTCTGGCTGATGAAGGACAAGTGTTCACAGACAGGCTGGAGCATTATACTCACCTGGGGGACGAAGGGTTGGGTTGTTCCTGTCTTGGAGAAGATACCTACCTTACCTGGCTGTAGGTGGTGAAGATGTTTGTGGCAAGAAAGCGCCTGGGGCAGTCAGTGCCCCTTCTCTGCGGGCAGGACTGTGCCTGCTCCTGCCTCTTGCTTAGTGTGAGGGATACTTACCCATCGGGGATAGTATTCTTCTTTACCATGCTGAAAGCAGGAGCAGGCAGAGCAGGAAACAACGGTGAAAGTGGGCACTGCAGCAAAGGAGAGAGAACCGCGCAGTTAACACGGTGCTAATCTCTTTCTCCATCAGTGGGCCTTTTCACAGGGCTGACTCTCACGTAAAATAAACCACGCAGTCAGCTGGGGCTTGAAGCCACCCTGAACAAGTTCTGCAGCTTGCAAGCTAGCCTGTTTTCTCCACTGCTACAGTACAAGAGGGAAAGACAACTCACCTCCCCTCTCCAGGAGATCAAAGAAACAGAGAGGAGAGGCAGCAGGTTGCTCTCTAACTCTAGCAGCAGCGCTGCAGAGATGAAGATCTTCCTGGCAGTCCCTTCCGTCCCGCTCCTGTGGCCGGGAGCAGTCTGTTCTGCCCTTGTGCTCCCACAGCTAGAACTCTTGTCTCAACGAGAAGAAACTCCAGGCAGCTGCAAGAGGCGAGGCCGGCACCTCAACAAGGGACGGGCCATCACCTGCCCCACGCTAACCTAGACGGGTCCGATCCCGCTTGATCCAGGGCACCGTCAGCGCCCGCCGATCTTAGTGGGACCACGGCAAGGAGGAGAGAGGCGAGGGGAGTTGCCCCCCTCCGCGGAGGGCCCATGTCCGCCGCTCCAGAGAAGACGCTTGAGGCTGGCGTGCACCTCCTTCCTCAAAGCCGCATGTCCCCGCGAACGCAGGGAGCCCGGGCAGGACCGCCTCCGAGGCCGGCTCGGGGCGCGCGCTTAGCGGGAGGCGGCTGAGCTCGGGGGAGGGAAAAAGGAAAAAAAAGAGACCGAGG